GGAAACTCAATCTCAGAGTCAGAGCACCAGGAGAAAACTTTAGGGCCCTTTATGAGTAAAGAGCCGGAGCAGCCTGTCCCGGATCTGTTTGGTCCTCATCCCATAGATGATGGGGTTTAGCATGGGGGGAATAAAGAGGTACATGTTGGGAAAGAGAACTTGGAAATGCAGGGGCACATTTTGGGCAAATCTGTACATGAGCGAGAAGAAGAGCCCTGGGATATAAAAGGCTAAAATGACAAAGAGGTGGGAGCCGCAGGTCCCAAAAGTCTTGAGCCGGGCATCCTTTGTGGGGAGGCTGAAGATGACCCTGAGGATCTGGATATAGGTCATGGCAATAAAAATCGCGTCCAGACCCAACACACCGAAAAGCACAAAGAGGCCGTAGTAACTATTGGCACGGGTGTCGGCGCAGGCCAGCTTAACCACAGCTATATGCGCGCAGTACGACTGGGGGATGATGTTGGTTCTGCAATATGGCCACTGCCTCGTCAGGAAGGGATAGGGCAGTACGATCATGCTGCCACGCAGCACTACGGCCAGGATTACCTTGGCCACCACGGGATTTGTCAGTATGATGGAATGTCTCAGGGGATCACAGATGTCCACGTAGCGATCCAAAGCCATGGCCAAAAATATCCCAGACTCTATCACTGAGACGCAATGAACAAAGTACATCTGGGTGAGGCAGGCATTGAAATCGATCTCCCTGGAATTGAACCAGAAGATGCTCAGCATTTTGGGCAGGGTGGACGTGCACAGGACCAGGTCGGTGACGGCCAGCATGCAGAGGAAATAGTACATGGGCACATGGAGGCTCGGCTCCCTCCTCACGATGAACAGGATGGCGATGTTTCCCAAGACAGCTATTGCGTACATGGTGCAGAAGGGGATGGAGATCCAGATGTGAGCTGCCTCCAGGCCAGGAATGCCCAGCAGGATGAAGGTGGAGGGGTTGGTGAAGTCGGTTGTGTTGGAATCTGACATGCAGTAGGGGAGAAGGTGTCCAGCTCTGAGGGTGAACGGTGTCTCCTGCGTGTACTGTACGTTCTACTGGCTTCCTGTATGTGCCCAGGCTTTAGGGTGATGGTCGCAGTACAAATGCCTGGATGGAGAGACAATGTGAATATGAGACACTGCATGCACAACTGGAGGCTGTTCTTATGGGTGAAGCAGATTGGTTTGTCTTCACACACAGAAAAATGACATTTTCATTATTCAGATAAATGATTTATGAACACATGATCCAACTAATGACAATTCCACATTTTATGGTGTTCTCTGCCTCAATAATTCCTACACATCTTGGTGTGGGAAACGTTAATAGACCCCAGCAGGAAACACAATGGTGGATACTGGTTATCCAACACTGTTCCTTAGGCCTTCTCTACACTGACAAGTTTTTTCGGGAAAAAGAAGCTTTTGGTGAAGAGACAGTGGCGGTGTCCACACTGCAAATCCACTTTCTATGACAGAACTCCTCAATTTCAGTGACATAATAAAACCACCTTGAAAAGACTTGTAAGGTTCATTACGCAAAAGTTTTGTCACCGATGTGCCAGTGTAAGCATTTGCGCTTTGATTTTATCGCTGTAATTGGCCTCCTGAAAGCGTCCCACATTGCCCATCCTGACCGCTGCTGTCAGTAGTTTCAACTCCTCTGCCCTGTACCAAGGTAAATACCTTCCGCTCCCTCCCCCTTAAAGGCCCTGAAATTTTGAAATTCCCCTTCCTGTTTGGCATGGAGCGCTCACACTGCCTGTTTTCAGGTGACCATTGTGGCTCCACACAGCACACGCTCTACGCCTTGGACCACTGCGGAGCTGCTGGATCTGCTCAGTATTTGGGGAGAGGAGGCTGTGCAGTCCCAGCTGTGCTCCAGCTGAAGGAATTTCAACACCTAAGGGCAGATTTCATGCAGCTTGTTGGAAAAGAGCCATGATTAGGACGCACTGCAGTGCACAGGAAAGGTGAAGGAGCTGAGTGCCACATACCAGAAGTACCATGTATCAGCAGTGCTATGAACCTGACGGCAAGGGAGGCAAATGGTCAGTCAGGGGCTGCTCCCCAGACCTGCCATTTTTATAAGGAGTTGGATGCTATCCTCATCTGTGACATCACCTCCATGGCCATGAGCCCCGTGGATATTTTGGTAGGTTTGCAGATGATGCAAACTGGACTTAACCCACAGGAGAAAGTCATTGGTGAAGAGGTGGAGGCATTAGAAGATATGGATCCCATGCTGGGGTTGCCCAGAGCTGTGCCCAGTCAGAAGCCGTTCTCGACTCTGGAGGTGTCCAGCCAGTCTCAACAGTTACAATCCAGAAGCAGGAAAATAGACCCCTGGTAAGTGGTTTTGCTTTGTGAAGTGTGGAGGTTGGTTGAGGGCAGAGAAATGTCCAAGACTGGCTGCGTTTCTGTGTGCTGGGCATTTCCCCGTGCAGCTAGGCAGTACGGGGGGGAGGCTGTTGATTCTCACTGAGATTTCACAGGATTCCTCCAGGGAAATTTCTAGGAAACTTTCCTGTAGGTACTCCACTGTCCTGTGCTGGAGATTCCTTGGCAGAACTGCTTTCTTCCTTCCGGAATTGAGTGACACTTTCCCGGCCCATTCTGCAATTACTTGGGCAAGAACAGGTGAGCAGCATAGGGACCGGGCTGGAAGCTACAAGCATGTAGTATATGAAACCTTGCTTCATTGCTTCCCCTCAGGAGAGAAATATCTGCCACAATGACCCCTCCTGTGGGAATGGGTGGGAAACTTATAGTATTGTCCCATGAGAAGTGCTTTGCGACCCCTCTCACATTGCTTTTCTCCCAGGCACAATGTCCTCCGGTGCTGGGTACACTCACCAGCCTTGCAGTGTTTCTCGGTATGTGTGCTTATCAAGGGTCAGCCAGAAAGTGATTGGTGTGTTACCAGCGCTGGATTTTAATGCAACATTTCAATGCTGTAAATGTACTTAACAATAATGCTTCTGTTTATTGTTACTTGTGGCTCACCAGATATGTCCCTGAAAGGAGACACCCCCTCCACTCAAGCTGAGCATCTCCGCTGGATATGAAAGGTCCCAAGAGGGAGCAAGGAAGATATGTTCTGGGAGGTGCTGCAGTACTCTGATATAGACAAGAGGGAACTCAGGCTGTGGAGGGAAAGCGACAAGCAGGAAAGAAAAGAAATTGAGGCATAAACTAGGGATGCAACAGAGAGGCTGATACAAGTTTTGGAGCAGCAAACCAACATACTAGTGTCCCAAGTAACCCTCTGCACTGAGAAGATGCATGTCTGCCTTCCCCTTCAGAACATTCAGAGCTCTTTCCCATGCCCTCCCCAAACTCCACCCACACATTCATTTCCGATTTCTGGGACTTCAAGCTTTCCCCTAAACTACACCCCCACAAACAGCTTTTCAAAAGACAGCTGGACTTACACTTAACTCTAAAATTCACCTCTCCTCTGGTACCCCCACAGAACCATGAATGTGCGTGTGTCTGTGTGTGAGCTCATAGTGTTGTGGGTTTTTTGGCTACAAAAGCAAAGTGATTTCATTAATAAGTATTCTTTATTTGTTTCCATGGAAGTTATGATAGCATCTGGCAGGAGCAAACAAAGAAGCATTTTTATCATTTCCTTCATTGGATCCTGGGCCTGAACAATCAGAACTGGTTCCTACCCTACGAAAACTGAACTTCATTATGCATTGCAATCCCAAGCATAGCAACAGACATTACTGGTTATCATCTTCAATGTGTTGCCTCGAAGCCTCCTGATTCAAGTTGCCTCCTCTTGTGCCGCTCTAATAGCCTTGGTATGTGGCTGCCCAAAATCAGCAGCCAAGCGTTCTATGACCATGAAAATATTATCCTCATTGAGGTCTAACCTGCCATAAAGGCATCACAAGTGTGCCTTTAATCTGCCAAATGCACATTCCACGATCATCCTGCACCTACTCAGCCTATTGTTGAAATGCTCCTTACTGCTATCCAGGTTTCCCATGTACGGCTTCATGAGCCATGGCATTAAGAGGTATCCCAGGTATCCGAGGATCACTATATGCATGTCGACACCTGCTGTGAGGATTTTCTTGTCTGGAAAGAAAGTCCTCGCTCGCAGCTTTCAGTAAAGGCCGGTTTTCCTGAAGACTCGTGTGTCATGCACTTTTCCGGACCACCCCACATTGATGTCAATGAAACGCTTTTGGTGATCTATCAGCACTTGCAACACCATGGAGAAGTACCCCTTCCAATTGATGTACTCCATCACAAGGTGGTTTGGTGCCAAATTTGAAATATGCATGCCATCTATCTCCCCTTCGCAGTTAGGGAACCCCATTTCTGCAAAGCCATCCACAATTTCATGCACGTTGCCAAGAGTCAGTCCTTCGTAGCAGGATGTGATTAATGCCCCTGCACACTTGCCTTAACACAGCCCAGTGGCTGATTTTCCGACTCCAAATTGATTTGCAACTGACCGGTAGCACCCTGGTGTCGCCAGCTTCCACTCTGTGATCACCAAGTGCTTCTCCACCAAGAGGGCAGCTCTCACTTGCGTGTCCTTGCACTGCAGGGATGGGATGAGCTCAGCACACACTTGAGAAAGATGGCTTTCCACATCCTAAAGTTCTGCAGCCACTGCTCCTCATTCCAGACCTGCATAATGATGCGATCCCACCACTCAATGCTAGTGTGGATCTATGATTCCATGATATAAAATCCTAATGTAGACCAGATCCTCGTCAAACACAAGTTATGGAGCTCAATACCAGTGTAACTGTGAAATTTAGTGGCCAGCATTATACCGGTCAGACTGTATGATCTAATGGTCCCTTCTGACCTTGAACATTATGAATCTATCAATAACGAAAGTAGATCAGGCATTTATATTTACTCTATTTCATAATACACGAGAAGGGAACATTCAATTACATTAATAGTCTGAACATATAACACTGAAAAAAGAAAATTGTTTATAAAACCCATATTTGGCCTGTGGAACTCCTTACCACAGCTCTTAGTGGAGCAAAGAGCTTAGCTGAATGGGATTCACAAATGGATTGGCCATTGTAAATGGTGCTGGTGGCGTCACAGTTAGTTAAGGCTGTCTGACAACTTCAAGGAGAAGACCACAATTTAAGATGCTTATACATTTGCCAAACATTAACTGTTTGGATTGAAATTTCCCATGCTGGTTGTCTGCATCCAGCAGAATTGCATTTTGAAAGTTTAAGGCATAACGGTTCAGCCGACTTCTCGAATGCAGCAGGAGAAATGATGTCTTGCCCATGTTGAAAATTTGTTATATTTATTCTAGTGAGGAGTCCTAGCAACATTTTGGCCCCTGATACTGGAGCAAACTCATCTGCTGTGGAAAGGGCTGTGGGATGTTTAATGCCCGTGCAGAGTGGAAATGACTGCAGACCTATTCCCTGTCCCAGCATGTGCACCTTCCACTGCGCGCGTCGAACAGAAAGAGATGGGTACCTGTGATTTCTGATATGGAAGCGTCTTCCCTGGGAATCACCCTCCAGTGGCTGTGTCCTGCACCTCTCTGACCCCAGCATCTGCAGTAGCATCCCACGCCAATAGCCAAAACAGAGGTGTGCACCGTTTAAATATAGCTGTATGCAATCCCAGGGGGTTTCGCTCAGCCTCTGTGGAGAAGCGGCATCTGGATGCAAACAGGCTGGAGACTAGAGACACTCTACCCAATGACTCTCTCTCTTTGGCCGCACTTCTGTTTTTGTTATCCAGCGTTAGCAGTAAACAATAATTAAGGGACCTTCCCAGAGGGAGTTGAGACCCTTTGGGCTCTTCACTGAGTCAGAGAGGAATTACCTGTTCTTTGTAATTGAGTATATTTAAAAATTATTGTTGATTACTAAAAAAACTAGGGATAATGCCTAGGTCCCATAGGGTCTGATACTGTGTAAATGCCCAGGCTAAACAGTAGTAGACAGACAGAGCTAGAG